AAAACAAAAAGTTTAAAATGTTTAGCAATTTATCCAAACCGCGTCATTTAAGAAGATTTTATTTAAACCTAAGCACTGTTGTGAGTAGAGGAATCTTGCGAGCAAAACGGCAGCGAATTCTCCCGAACCGATTAGTTTTAAACTTGACACGTAGTAAGAACTACGAGAGGAGATCGGCGAGGTAGGGTTTAAACAAGCTCTAGGCTATTTCTTGAGATGTAAACATCAGAACAGAGCCCTCAACAAAAGCCCTCACGTACACCACACTAAGACTAGCCCTCATGTAGACTACCACACCAAAAGCCCTCAGATAGATGACCAGCACAACAAACCTAACCTAACCTGGATTAGAAACACAAGCGCCTTCACCTAGATGTCAAACACACAAACTTATGACCTCACCTAGATGTCAAACACACAAACTCATGACCTCACCTAGATGTCAAACACACAAACTCATGATCTCACCTAGATGTCAAACACACAAACTCATGACCTCACCTAGACGTCAAACACACAAACTCATGACCTCACCTAGATGTCAAACACACAAAATCATGACCTCACCTAGATGTCAAACACACAAACTCATGACCTCACCTAGATCATCACCAAACCCAAAATCTCAGCGAAAAAAACACATCACACAAATTGGGGATTGACACCAGTGGCGGAACTAGAAAAAAAAACCACCCCGCAATAGATAATTTTCAGGCTAGCCTGTTAAAAGTATTTAAACAAGGGAATATGATATGTGTTATGCTTTCCCGTGTTTGTTTTATTCTAGGTTTTTCTGCATTTATATTAATAATTTTGAACAATTTTCTTTTTACATCTGTGTAATTCTTTAGTATATTTTAAATTAATAATAATTAAGAGATGACATTACTTTTAAGTTTTCTTTGTACAAAACTATTAAAATGAGCTTTTTGGCACCCTATTAACTTTAAATAGTGGTGATAAGTCATGGAAGAGGTTTGAAGGTTTGACTTTTTTAACACAATAGCTCATATTGTTCCTTTTTTTGTCTATGCCGTAGTGTGTGTTATTTACTGTAGAACAATCACTGATTTAATAGATCTTTTAAAAAAAATAATATTAGTCTATCCAGATACCATTATATTTTATTGCTAACACACATATTCACAAATTATCTGCCAACCAGACAAAACATAAAAAAAAACTAATTGTTTATTGATTATTAAAAGTAATTAGTCACGTACGTGCCTGTAATGAGTAGATGTCTTAGTGTTAGCACTCGATTATTTTAAATTTAATTAAGAAATTAATTATGTTAAATGTGTTTGTGCCAATTGAGAATCAAACTGCATTGCAGTAGGGCTAGGTCCGAATGACCCATGGCGTCGATCGATGTTCATTGACCTCGTATTTTGAAGCTCACCCTATGAGGCAATGGTTTGTGTTAATTGTTTTCGTAAATTAGTTGCAGGGGCGGAACTATTATACCGCAAGACCCCGCAATGCGCTTTAAGAGTAGGGGAGGTGGTATTTTAGACGGATAGGTGGTCCAAAATATTCGCCAAATATATTAAAACTCGTGGTGGATACTAAATTTGCTTTTTTTCTTTTTCAATAAAAGGCTCGCTGTCATCAAAATAATTCTTTGAGAAAAAAATCAAAGACCACAACTCGAAAGGCCGCAGTTAGTCAACTTTCATGACGTACGGTTTGTTGCGTCGATCTTGGGCTATAGATGCCTGCTATTGATGCCGGCGTACATAGGCTTTGTTGTCCCCTTCCTTTTACTTTAAGTCCCAGCCCCACCCCCACCTCCTATCATCACAAGCAACAAAACGATATGCATAAATAAATTGTTTATCAACTGGACTACCAAACATTCCCAACTTCGGCAAATCTTGTCAGCGGGTCTACGACAAAGTTCCGAAATGCCGTTTTCCCGAAGGGCTTTTTCCCGAATGGACACTCGCCCGAATGAGACAAATGCCCGAATGGACCCTTAACAGATTGCGAGAATAAAGCTTTTATTGACTCGGGGGCTATATTTATTTTTATCTATGATTTATATCGTATTGTTAATTCAAAACAATTTGACTGTTCAATTATTACGTTGATGACACCACCACTTGTATTTATTTAGTATATTACATAAGCTTGATTTTAGACATATTTATGACTATGATAATAGATATCTTTTAATCAAATGTCAAGCTGACGTAAGTTGATGAAAACAAAACGGCACGTGGGCCACTGTGTATTTTTATCAAAATTTTTAAACTTCATTTTGTAATTCTACATGACTTTATGCTTTTGCAACAAAAATATTCGTTGCATCGTTTTATTAAGTCCAGTGAAGACATTATGATTAAACGCGAGCACAGAAGTATAAATGTACAATGTGCAAGATGCTTACACTTACATGATAAACGATGTTTTGTTTTGAAAAACTACAAGCATACTGAAGATAAATGTAGCTACCGCCTGTTCCTCTCTCCCTACAAACTGAGTTGGAACAGCCCACAACCGACTTATTCGATGAACGTCTTACCTAAATGACACTTAAATAAGAAAAAATATATCTTACAATAGGTAAAATAACTTTTAAGTGAGGCTTGCCGAGCAAAAGCTACAAAAATGTATTAATACAAGGTGTTGGTCTGGTTAACTAGGAAAGTATTAAAAGAAGTACTAAGAAGAAAGTAAGAAATAGAAAGTATTAAAGAAGAGTCATATTAGGGTCACATTATATAAATCAGTTTCGTCGAGACAGGGACCCTTTTGACTTGAGCCCTTTGTCGAGAACCTTATTAACGGGAGCCTTTTTGTAAAATGTCGAAATGATGGGGACGTTTTTATCCGGAGCCAAATGACGGCGTCAATTTTTCGCTAGCCCTTTTGTCGGGTAGACTTGATTGAGTTCTTTTGCTGAGACCTTTCTGTCGGGGCTGTTTTGACGCCGCACGAAAATATTTATTATAGAAAAGAAAGAGTTATCTATTCAAATCGTATTTTCTTATATTTCCACGGCTTTATTAAAAATTCTAAAAATATAAGGTGACACTAGATATTTGCGTCGTTTAGACAAATAGCTAAAATAATAGTACAACATACAATATTATGTTCGTCAGAGTACTTATAATTTAAAGTTGTTGGCCAGATGAGGGCCGCAGGACGAACTAGATAGAACACATAAAAATAGTATTATATAGCGATGAGTCTAATTGAGAATCACGTCATTTGTTTCAGCGCTGTGTGACTACATCCATGGGGACTCTGAAAATGTCTCCTGGTGCTTTTGTTCTAGTGTTTGCTGTCAACTTCTTTTGGTGTTCTGGTAAGTTTGTGAATTTCTTCACTTGATTTAACTTCATAAATTAGTATTTTAATTTATTTTTAGAACTAAACAAGTATTCGCAAATACCTTTACTCCTCTTTTAAACTTAAAACCATTTCAAACCTGATAATCTAGCACTGCCGGGTTAAAGAAGATTGAGACTAAACAGCTCGTTTTTTTCGTTTTTTGTTTTTTTTACTTTCTCGTATATACGAAGTATAGAGAAAGTCTTGTAATCGTGCAAAAAAAAAAATCGAGATTTTTACAAATCTCGACGTTTCACACCTCACTGATACGGAAAAACATAATTTTGCAATCTTGTCCGTATGTCTGTGTGTCTGTCTGTGTGTCTGTGTGTCTGTCTGTCCGTGTGTAAACACGATAACTTGAGTACCGTTACAGCTAGGTTGATGAAATTTCATATATAAGTATTTAATCAAAATCGTAGATCCGTATCAACTTTTGAGCGATTTCCGATAACCGGAAGTGGTACTTTTCCTACTTTGAATTTTTCAAAAGCCTATAACTTGAGTACTATTTCAGATAGATAAATGAAATTTCATATGTAAGTAAAAGATCTAATTCTCTACCTTCTATTAAATTTTGAGTCATTTCCGTTGACTGGAAGTAGTACTTTACGCTACTCCCGATTTCTCAAAAAACTAATGTAAATTTTAAAAGTACTAATAATATTGCGCACCATTATGCGCTTTTTTATTTAGCGTTCACTTGGTGTGCAATTAATTTGTCTACGAGATTTTATTATATTTTTAAAACTTTAAGTATTTAAAATGGATTAAAAATCATGTCTATAGCCCGAGTTCCCATCCCCTGTTATTTTATATAAGAATATTCGAGAAAGTTTAGGGGAGATCACTCCCGGTTTATTTTACACAATATTACATTGTCACAAAGGGAATCCACTGCGTAATTCACCGGTATGCCCTCACAAGGAGGACTCTTCCGACTCTATTGTCTGTCAACAGGAAATTTTGTGAATCGTGTTTTTAACTTTCTCCAATACTTCAGCCTGTAATTTACACCAGTATAAATGTCAAGTATATGTTACAAATAATACAGGAGACACGACAATGTTAGAGAACAGAACAACGTCTTATGAAAGAGAGAAAATCAAGAAATCTGTTTTGTTGCTGAATTTGAAAGCTGAAACCTTGAACTACGTGAAAACTGTGGACACAATGGCTGACTTTCTGAAATCGTTTGAAGATCCAGAAAAACTAAAAGGTGCAGACGTGTCAATGTCATTACAGATGACACATTCTGGTAGAGATGGGTACAGTGATGACACGGCTCAGATTCCATCACCTACAGAGTTAAACAACAGTAACAGACACATCAGCTCTACTAATGCTATAGACGTGCTTGGTGCTAGGATAGATAACATCACAGAACAAATGCAAACAGTGAATAACAGACTTAGAACAATAGACGTAAAGCTTAACGAGGCCATTACAGGGAACAGCCAAACACACCGAATGATAGAAGCTTTAAACACAACTGTACAAGTTGAGTTGTCACGGACGACACTGCAGGTAAATGTTTTATTTCGACATAAATATTAAATGAATTAGCGCAGTTAAGTGTTTAATACAGAATTATATCAACCAATATACACTTTACAAATTGTTAAGAATTATTAATATAAATATTATATATTTATAAACAGTGTAAAAAGAACGACAAAACTGATGTACCAGAACGAACGACCGTCAGACTAGGTCAAGACAAATTGGCTTTGTGCGACACAAAAACTGACGGTGGAGGTTGGATCATTATTCAGGTTGGTAAATTTAATACCTTAACATCTTTTTGTAAATTTTGATCTTGTGTTATAATAGTTTATCGATATTTTGCAAATATCTTATTTCAGAGACGTGTTTTCGGTGACGTGAATTTTACGAGAGGTTGGAACGCCTATAAACATGGGTTTGGTTCAATGATTGGAGATTTCTGGCTTGGGAATGATTGGATCTCTAACCTTACTTTTATGGTGAGTTTAAAAAAAGAAAATCTGTATATACAGACTAAAGCCTTATTTAATGTTACACGTGTTATACATTACAGGGATACAATGAACTTAGAATCGACATGACCCAAAAAGGTAAAGAGTACTACGCCCATTACGATCATTTCAAGGTAGACAACGAAGCAGAGTCGTATACAATAAACGTGACGTCATTCAGTGGAAACGTTAAAGACTATCTAAACCCTCATATTGGTATGAGGTTTTCTACCATCGACAGGGACAATGATCGATACAGCGGAGATTGTGCTGGACTTTGTAAAGGTGGCTGGTGGTATAACTCCTGTAGAACGTCAGCTTTAAATGGTGTCTGGGGCACAACAGACCTTACTACAGGGATAGTCTGGTCAGAGCTATCAAGTGATGGAGATATTGCAGACTCAGTTGAGATGAAAGTACGTCAAGTGTAAACAAACTATCTGAAGATGTTTTAAATATAGGTATAGCTTTAAGTTAGTGTAGCAGACATATTTTTATTAGACCAATCTATTCACTCCACTCTCCTTCTTAAAGTGTGAAGGTTCTCTATGTTCTGTAACTGAAAATTTCAAAGTAACCTAATTAATACGTCAACATAATTGTGTTTTTATACACACTTATTATCATTTGACTGGTTGCATTTGTTTCATAATGCATTATTTTACTATGTAAAAATATTGCTTATTTTTTAAATTAATTGTTTTTTAAGTAGGCTATAGAGTTTTTGTGTTTATTTTTATAACTAAGAAAAAAAGCATCCGAATCTGAGAAAATATACATGATTACATTTAAATAGTCTTTTGTCTATTATTACCACAATAAAAAAGCAGCTGTGCACGAAGTATTACTTTACTTTTTAAAATCTATATTATCCTATTGCTTTATTAGAAGTTTGATTTTAAGAGGTTATCTAAAAACGTAACACTTTTGTATGGAGGGGTTTGGGCGAGTCAACAAGCGTTGGAGAAGGTTTGAAGACACACATGCAAGATTTCCCAAACACAGGTATATACAAGTCATTGAACACACTAAAGCACATCCAGGCAGAGTAACAAAATACAAAAATAAGAAAATCGAGAACAGGTTTAAATGAGTAAAACTCGACATTTAAACACAACCACGGAAAGACCCTACCTGTTTACACCGACGGTATGATAAAAAAAAAAAAGAAAAAACGCTATTTAGATAACAGAAATAAACTGGCATTAAGAACAATTTTTGCATAAAAAGTATACACTTCAAATGCTAATCTTTACTTGACAGTTTTAAGGATAGGCACCACGGATAAAAAATTTTTTTTTATTTAACACATTTCTGGTTGTTTAATAAGTTTATATAATTATAGTTGTTAAACTATAGACGAAAATAATATATAGCCGTCAATAGAAGTACTGGTTGCCATGGAAACCGCGAAAAGGTGTGAAAACTAACACCTTTTCAAATCGCTAAGGCTTTGTTCCCATAAGAGATTTTAAAAAGCGGATGAAAGATTTAGATTTCTCAAACCAAACTATACATTTCTACGTTTACTCATTGCGATATCTTGTACTCAATTTTTAATACAAATTTGTACGTAAATTTATGTATAAAAATTAGGGGGTGGTGTTACATAAATATCAATATTTCCTAAAGTATTGTAGTAAACTTAATGTACAAACGTAGTTTTGTAGATGGTAACATGATGAATGCCCGTGGAATGTTTTATTCTTGTATGACAAAGGGTTCCAAAGCCTTAGCGATTTGAATGTTGAATTTTGAGTAAAAATGCAAAGTTGAGAAAACGTGAAAAGAAGAGCGGGAAAAGGCACGGTGCGTTTTCTCTTATAGAAAACAGAAAAAAAACGTCTTGTTATATGTGGAAGAACCATTTGTCTAATAACATACGCTTTGATTTATGTTGTAAGTTTTAGACAGATTTTTTCTATGTAAGCAGAAAATATGTATACAACAGGTAATGAATGTATGACTATTAAGTATTACACATCCTATCAATCGAGCGGTATTCTCAGAACAGCTATCTTCAAACCAGATCAAGTTTTGTTTGTTAGCCGGTCTTCTCACTTCAAAATAATGTCTTTCTCTACTCAAATTGTAGCTTACACAAGTTTATTGCCTTATGATAATAGCCTACAACACAACACTGGGTACAACGCTTGAGGCTAGACACGCCCCCTCCACCCCACCCCACGCTGGATAGTGCGTGAAGAACCGATGAGCCATAGATTACCAATGTTCATTCAACCGCGAATAACACATCTGTGTAGATAGGGCCAAGTACAGGGCCTAAGTGAATGCTTCTCAGCTATCCTATCTAGTATTTACATTCGTTGCTACCACACCATATACGGAGAGATGGGCATACACATTAACACATGTGTCGTATACAGTCCGGTGTAAAGCCTGATGAACGCGTTCAAGCCTATCACAGCATGCCGTAACAAGATTATATACCAGCCGTTGGTTGAATGGCGAGAAGGGAATGAAGGGGGTAAAGGGGATGGACAGTACATTCTTCAAACTGATAGACATTTCCATGACGCATTGTTTCAGCTTAGTATAAAGCGTACGAAACAGTGTTTTATATTGTTCCAGTGATAATCAACAGTGCATTTCTAGGCCACGTTTCAAGTACTAAACTTAATGTTGTACTATAACTTTAAAACAACAAATAGAAGAGTATACGCAAATGAGGTAAACAAACGAGACAGGCGATTGTTTTGTTTATCTAGAAACAAGATGGCTGCCTAGCACACGTGGTTAGTTGCAGCCTATCGTGAATTATTTTGATTTACTGCACTATAATATGATTGGTCAAGCGTATCAATGAATCTCTTCCCATTCATAATTTTTACGCGTATGCCCTTATATGGAGTTTGATATAAAATTTTACTTTGTTGAAAACAACTTCTATCTCACTTATTTTTAGAACAAAAGAAAAGGTCACTACACCAGCGGGTACACAAGTGCTTGGCCCTTAGATTGCTGTAAAGTTTATGGTGCCTCGCGGGCCATAAATACATGTAATACCCGTTCGAAGATAGCCGCTGTCCGCGTAGTAGTGTGAAAACTTGCCGGGTGTACCATGTTTCACATCGCAATAAACGGATAACCGTAAGCTGTAGAAGTCCGAAATGTTCGGGTTAGATAGATAAAAGGTATTAGTATCGAATTAAGAAATAAAAATTTTGGGGAGCAAAATTACAATTTTATCGAGTGGCAATTTATTCATTGAAGACATCGTAAAATATAAAGCCTAAATATTCTTTAAATGTTAACTAAAAGACAGCTTTACATTTGTTTTTTTCAATTTTAGTGAGAGTTTCAATTTCAATTTTCAATTTTAGTACAGTCCTGTATTAATACCTTTGGCACCTGACCCTGTGTTATGTCTGCGGCTCTACCCGTGTCTTGTATCAAATGTGTTTAAAATTAATCTTTTACTGTTTTATGTAAACTTTGTAATAATTACAAACCTGGACCTCATTCATATATATATATATATATATATATATATATATATATATATATATATATATATATATATATATATATATATATATATATATATATATATATATATATATAATCTTAACATTCATTAATATTCATGATTGTTAAGGGAAAATATTTTAAATTGCAACAAATGTTTTTGGGATCAAATAGATCTTTTCACCCCAAGCATTTGACTTTTGACCCTGCACTGGTGTGACCATTTTTGTGAAACAAAAATGCCTCTCTAAAAGGGAGGGGATGTGACCTACTTAGGTCTTTTTATTTCTTTTTATTATTTAGTCTCCTGAGTTTTATTATTGACCTTGGGAGAATTGTCAGTTCACTGGTACGCATCGGTCAACTGAACTCAGTCACGGCATGTGACTTGGATTTTAATCATTATCAGAACCTCGGCCAATGGGTGTTTAGTATTGAAGATCCTTAACCGATCCTCGACCAATGGCCTTGCTACATTATAGTAGCCTCCCTTGGGTTTGATCTCTGATAAAAGGTCGAGACACGACTTCATCAGGGGACTTTGACCTAGACTCCGGGAGGCACAGTGCGGTGTGTGTGTGTGTGTGGTTTTATATTGAATTGTTCAGTTCGTGGTGATATATATTAGTTCCTCACCATAGGAGTTGTTGACCACTCCAGTGTTTAAGATACATTGTTTAGGTGTGATATTTCACAAAGTTGTGTGATTATTCCAGTGTTAATGAGTTATTGCTTAGGTGTGTTTTTCACCAAGTATATGGTCTTTCCAATACTTATGATATTGTTTAAGTGTGATATTTCACTAAGTTGTGTGATTATTCAAATGATTATGAGATGTTGCTTAGGTGTGTTATTTCACCAAGTTGTATGGTCATTCCAGGTTTATGATATTGTATTTTAGGTGTGGTATTACACCACGGCTTTACCTGTGACTTTAATATCTAATTGTTAGAGATATTACAGTATCATTGAGTTATCTGTGAGTGATATTTTTATGGTTTAATTATTGCTCTTAATGAAGTTTACTTTGGTGTTGAGTTATTGACTATTGTACATTCTTGTGCATAAATTAAAATAGTAGTTGTCAGTTTAACCTAAGTTGAGTTTCATCTATCCTACGTGTCAATACCCCTAGACTTTTGATACAAGCCCACGTAGATGTAGGTGTGCTCATACTGTCCAGAAAGGTTTCTGTCTGACTACTTTAAACGAACCTGGGGGCGTTCGCCTATTCTGCGTCTGACAGAAGGCGTCCGTTACAACTGGGGGCTCGTCCGGGATTTTGATTTATGTGCAAGTTTGGCACTAGTTGGAGTTTGTGATCTAGAGTTAGGTCAGAAGTTCAAATAAGTTGAACTAGTTCTTGTGTAGTTGTTTTTGTTATCAGTTGAGGGTAAACATTGTGAGTTGTTGGCTATGGAGGCTTTGTTGTTAAGTCCCACTGTGGAAACAGTTGAGAACTTAGGTAGGAAAGATTTGATAACAGTTGTCAAAGAGTTGAACCTTGAGTATACTGTTACGCAGACCTCTAGGGTGTTGAAGGACAAAGTTATGGTCTATTTCATTAATGAAGGTATGTTAGATGAGAGTCTCCTTTCTGAAGTTTTGGCACGTGAAGTGAAAATTGTTGATAGGGAGTTTGAGGCCAGACTTGAGTTAGAAAGAAAAGTTCAGATGAAGAGGTTGGAGTATGAGTTTGGTGTTATTGGCAGTAGTACGAGGTCAGGAGGTCCTTCTCAGTTGTCTGTGGCCCAAACATTGGCCCAGTTTTGTAAATTAGTCCCTAAGTTTGATGAGTCAGATCTTGTTGTATTTTTTAATACATTTGAGAACATGGCCGAAAGTTGTCAATGGCCTAGTAACTTAGTCACGACGTTATTAAACACTGTTTTAAAAGGTAAAGCTGCCACCACATACCAGGCACTCTCCCGGGAAGTCCAATCCGATTACAAAAAGGTCAAAGCTGCCATTCTGAAGGCTTACGAAGTAACTCCGGAAGCCTACAGAACTAAGTTCAGAAAAATTAGGAAACAACAGAACCAAACCTATGTTGAGTTCCTTTTTGAAAAAGAAAAAATCTTTTCAAGATGGCTCCATTCTGAGAATGTCGACGACTTCGACAAACTCAAAAGTCTGATACTAAGAGAAGATTTTCTCAACGCAGTACCAGAAGAGATCAGACTACACATCTTGAATAACCGAATAACAGACATCAAAAGGGCAGCAGAGTCAGCTGATACCTACGAGCTGGTGCATAAGAAATCACAGGGGTCTGGTACCAAATTCAATCCGGTACTCCCTCTCATCAGCAACAATCCCCCTGCTGGCCAATTGCTGAGGTCTCGT